AATATATAATATATATATACAGCATAAACAGAAAAAGACTAAAAGAAAAATATATATATATATAATACAGTTAAAACAAACAAAAAGGAGACAGAGACAGAGGCAAATAAACATAAAAAGAGAGACAGAAAGGAGACAGAGGAGAATTTAAAGGAGACAAACAAAAAAACAAACAAAGAGACAGAGACAGAAATAGAGAAGGAGACAGAAAAGATATAAAAGGAGACAAATAAAGAAACAAACAAAGAGACAATAAAAGAGAAGGAGACAGAGAAGAAGACAGAGAAGGAGACAGAGAAGGAGACAGAGGAAGAGACAGATGAAGAGACAATGAAAGAGAAGGAGACAGAGAAGACAGAGGAGAACTAAAAGGAGACAGAGACAGAGACAGAGACAGAGACAGAGACAGAGACGGAGACAGAGGAGGAGATAAGGAAGGAGACAGAGAAGGAGACAGAGACAGAGAAGGAGACAGAGAAGGAGACAGATGAAGAGACAATGAAAGAGAAGAAGACAGAGAAGGTGACAGAGACAGAGAAGGAGACAGAAGCAGAAGCATGAGCCTGCAGCAGCAGATACAGAGAAGAATCAACAGACAAACAAACAAAGAGAGGGAGAGATAAATAAACCCTAAAACCCTAAACCTAAACCCTAAACCCTAAAACCCTAAACCCTAAACCCTAAACAAGGAGAGAGACAGAGACAAATAAACATAAAAAGAGAGACATAAAGGAGGAGTCAACATAACTCAGAGGGATGCAAACAAATGCATAAACAACTCTTTTCAGACACTGCACTCAAACCCTAAACCCTAAACCCTAAACCCTAAACCCTAAACCCTTAACCCTAGACCCCGAAGCCTAGAACACCACTTTTTTATATTTTTGATTGATTAATTGACTAATTTATTAATTAAATTATATAAAATATTTAAAATTATATGGTGAGGAGGAAGGAAGAAAAATACAAACCCTAGAGCGCATGCGCAGCGTAGCCGCATAGACCCACTGACGTAAACCCTAAACCCTAAACCCTAAACCCTAAACCCTAAACCCTAAACCCTAGTTAAGCCTGCGAAAACCCTAATAATAAACACCTGAAATATTTGAATCTTTAATTTCAGGAATTTTTTGTCTGCTTATTTTTCATCAAACCCTAAACCCTAAACCCTAAGCCATATACACAGACAGCCACGAGGGCCCCCGTCTCGGGTACCCAAACCCTAAACCCTAAACCCTAATGAAACCTCAGTGATTGACACTTAGATCTCTATAATTTAAACGCTAAACCCTCACCAACCCTCGTTTGCGTCTTCTAATAGCACCACCAGTACCAGCGGCAGCCGCAGCAGCAGCAGCAGCAGCTGCTGCTGCTGCTGCCGCTGCTGCGTTCTATGCACGGCAGGGGCCCCCCGCTAGAGGCTCACGTCGCCTCGGTGTGGGGCCCCTGATTGTCTGGGATCCGATCCCAGCATCAGGATGAGGGGAGGGGGGCCCCCCGAAGGCAGCACGCGGGGCCCCCCTGGGGGCCCCCACCAGGGGGCCCCCTTGGGGGCCCCTTGGGGGCCCCCTGGGGGCCCCTCTGAGGGGCCCCCAAAGGGTTTGTTTGAGACAACAGGGGTCCCCCCTCCTCTGGATCGGGAGTTGCAGCAAATGGGGATGGAGACGAGCTGCAGCAATTGGCGCGTTGCGCTGTTTGCTTCTGATTTGGGGTTTGTTGCTGCTGCTGCTGCTGCAGCAGCAGAAGCAGCAGGCGCAGAAGCAGCAGCAGCAGCAGCAGCAGCAGCAAAAGCAGCAGCAGCATCAGCAACAGGGGAGGACTCTGACGAGGGCTTCGAGCCCTGGGACCTATCGAGCAGCTCTGAAGAGGATAGCTTGTTTGCGTGCAGCAGCAGCAGCAGCAGCAAAAGCAGCCGCAGCAGCAGAAGCAGCGGCAGCAGGAACAGCAGCAGCAGCAGAAGCAGCAAACTATGGAACCGCCCATGTGTTATAAATCTGCGAATTTATAAAAAGGCGAAGGAGAGGAGACAAAATAATGAGGCAAACAAACAGCAGCAGCAGCAGCAGCAGCAGCAGCAACAGCAACAGCAACAGCAACAGCAACAGCAACAGCAGCAACAGCAGCAACAGCAAAGAGATAAAGACAAAGAGACAAGGAGAGAGAAAGAAGCAGAGGCAGCAGCAGATAATGATAAAGATAAAGATAAAGATAAAGATAAAGATAAAGATAAAGATAAAGATATAGATAAAGATAAAGATAAAGATAAAGATAAAGAAAGAGACAGACTCGTCGTTGAAGTCTCCGCTAATTTTTTTCTTCAGTGAGTTATATATGTATATTTATATTATATACATGCAAATATATATATATATATATTAAAATATATATATATATATATATCCTTATTTATTTATTTATTTATATCTTTATCTATTTCTTTGTGTGTCTTTATTTGTTTATTTCTTTTGTTTATTTATCTCTAACTGTCTCCTCTATATATAATAACTCATTATATAAATATAAATATAAATATATATATATATATATATTTATTTGTCTCTTCATTCTTTTTATCTCTCTCCTTCACTTTAATTTATTTTAATTTATTTAATTTATTTTAATTTATTTAATTTGTTTTTGTCTCCTTACAGAGGTAGCGGGCCTCGCTTTCTCCTCTCCGCTGCCCTCGGCTGTCCTCTGTCCCCTCTTCGATCTCTTCTTGCTGCAGCAGAGGCCTCAATCATAAACCAAGGGGGCCCCCCAGGGGCCCCCCAGGGGGGCCCCCAGGGGACCCCCCAGGGGGCCCCCCAAGGGACCTTCCAGGGGGCCCCCCAAGCGACCCCCCAGGGGGCCCCCCACGGGACCCTCCAGGGGGCCCCCCGAGGGACCCCCCAAGGGGCCCCCCAAGGGGTCCCCCAAAGGACCCCCCAGGGGGGCCCCCAAAGGACCCCACAGGGGGGCCCCCAAAGGGACCTCCATAGGGGCCCCCAAGGGGCCCCCCACGGGGCCACCCACGGGGGCGCTTGCCCTCTGGTTCCTGCTGCTGTGCTTCCGTACAGGCAGCAGCGGCAGCAACAGCAACAGCAACAGCAGCAGCAGCAACAACAACAACAGCAGCTGCAGCAGCAGCAGCAGGAGGCGTTGCACGCACTTCACGCATCGGTCGCAGCAGCAGCAGCAGCAAGAGTGAACAAGGCTCCAGGAGCTTGTTGCAGCGGCATCAGAAGCAGCAGCGGCAGCGGGAGCATCAGCAGCAGCAGGAGCTGCTGCAGCAGCTGCTGCTGCCTCTGCCAGCAGCTCCGCATGCTGCGTAGTTTGGTTGTGGGTATAAAGCACCTCTTAGAAGAGCTAAAGACAAAACCAGCGAAAGATATAATAGCTGAGGCTCTGAAAGAGACAGATAAAGAAAGAAGGAGGCCCCTTCAAGATAACCAAGTGAAATACTAATGCTGCTGCTGCTGCTCCTGTTGCTGCTGCTGCCGTTGCTGCTGCTGCTGCTCCTGTTGCTGCTGCGTCTGCTCTTGCTGTTACTTCTGATGCTCTTGCTGCTGCTGATGCTCTTGCTGCTGCTGTTGCTGCTGCTTTTGCTGCTGATGCTGCATTTGTAGCTCCTCTTTTAGCTGCTGCCGCAGCTGCTAAAAAGGGCTGTTGCTGCTGTCTCTCCTGCTGCTGTTTGGTAGAGCTGTTCGTTGCACGAGTTACTGCTGCTGCTGTTGCTGCTGCTTGTACGGCTGCTGTTGCTGTTGCTGCTGCTGCTGCTGCTGCTGGCCCCCAAGCTGCAGTTCTTCTTTTATGGGGTCTGCTTGCAGCTTCGCTTCAAGAGCCTTAGCAGGCACCAGCAGCAGCAGGAGCAGCAGCAGCAGCAACAGCAGATCGGAAGAGCACACGTC